TATATATATACACGCACGCACGTATATGTATCGATTGCGTTTTCTGACACAGGCTGGCGCTCTACTCGTACGCAGACACTGTTGTATATAATCAAAGTCCCTCTATCAGAAGGACTGTGATATAATAAGGTTTAATAAGTTGTTCGTCAGTTGTACAAGCATCAACCACTTAAAATATTGTATATACGAGGTCACCGAGTACTTCATAGAACATTCAAATAGAGATATCCATAGGCACTCAACTCAATTTCACTGCAGTATATATGCTTTGGGCTTGTTTTATGTATAGGGTTGTACCATTCAAAATCCTTGAACTGATGTGTAGACGATTTGGCAAGAAAACACAGTGGACTTGCATGCCACATTGTTCCACGCAACATTTACCTCGTATTCAATCTTCCAACCGCTCCGCTTGATTTAAAAAAAAAAAAAATTATCAACATTCTGCTATCTGATGTCACGTAGATATCAAAACATGAATGACGTCATGCCATTCCAACTGTAATTTGTTTGAAAACCCCCTAACGTTGTACAAAGAATATTAAATATGAGGCACCTTAGAGTAAAAAATGTATATGTGTATCTGAAGGAACAACATCAAAATATGCATTTCTCGTGCAGTGATAATATAAGGACACGAAGCTTTCAATAAAATCATAATTCATATGATGTCATAACGAAGTACACCATTTTTGTGTTTAGATTATTATAATCAATGTTTAACTGTGCATGTATGCATGATATACATATTTCACATCGTGTTTACTTATTTTCATATTGTGAGTCTATTGCGTAGTCACAAAATAACTTAAAACCGTTTAACGCTTAAAATACTAAGATACTTTCTTTCTTGTAATTGCTTTTAATTAGTTACATATTATAGCATAGGGAAGCCCATCATGACTGCCAACATCATTTCTAGTTATATTCTGTTCAGCGTGATACTTGTGCGCTACGGTGGCCTCGAATTTGTTTCAATCAGTTATTTGACTAGTTTCAATTCAATTTAGGTACACTCCGGTCACGATGTGTTTCTTTGCCATACTTCACATTGCGCATAGCAAAACTCATTTAGACATATAATTACCCCCATTTTCACGTTACTACGTAGATTCTGAACGTCATTGCCATAGTAACGCATACTCAATAGTTGCACAGTTAGTAGTTATAGGAAAGGTCTTGAAAACGTCATGTCAACATGGTTCTTAGGTCGTGTCCTCGTTCCAGGCTCTATTTCACGTGTTGCCATGACTAAGTACTCAAAAATGCAATGTTTCCTCGACATCGGGTCAAAGCAATATAGTTCACTGACATCGCACGTGGCTAAACCACAAATACACCATATTAAATATATTACACGGTCTTGCAAGGTCCTGTAAACCTGGGGCGAGGACGGGACTAATCACGTGCACGGCCCGGGCTCCTCATAAGTTAAGGACTTTGACTCGAAATAATTGGAGTTGGCGGGAGGTCTGACACAGAATAAATATTTCCATAGTGTCAAGTGTACGTACAGCAACCTTCGTCATATCATTCCAACATTTAAGGCCAATGTCAACGGGCCATGAATGTAGTCGATTATTCTGGTTAATATACAAACATCACCTTGTTATTGTTACCTGATTTGATGTTGTAGGGATATGTACTAGGTTTAGATTTTGTTAGTTTAAGAGGTAAACAATTTACTGTCCACAAAGTCACTGTGTTTTCATTTTTGACGTATATAGGTGCAAATGAAACAAGTGAAAATAGAACCCAGCTATTATAACAACTAAATCTTATTCGGTTTTGGTCGAAAAATTAGAGAAACATAAAAAAACGCAAAAAATGGGAACAATTTGTGTCACTGATTTAATTATTTGAACATCTCGCGACGATTACATTTTTTAATCCTAATTAAGCCTTGAGCAATATATTTTGTGAAGTATCGAGACCGCCCATTGGTTAATACTTTCAAGTTGATAGTCTTCCGTTTAGAAGCATAAACAATATGTTTGACAGATAACATAATTGAAGGCACCCTAGGTGGTACCATTTGCGTCCTCGTTCGCACGATTATGTTGAAATCGGTTTATTCTGTCAATTTACCAATATTTGAAATTTCACGTTCAATGCTGTTCCTGGCACGAATCTGAGAGAAATACGCTACAATGCGATAGCCTTGAAGTCAGTTAAACTGTCCTTCTGATTCCAAACGAAGCACATTGCCGTAGTCAGAGTTGCTAGTGTTACAAATTTATATGTTATCGTGGCACGGCCATGTACACTTACTTATATGCCCTGAATAAAAAAAATGGTATATTTTTCAGTGTTTTGTCAGTTAGTTAGTTAAATAGAAGAAAACTAACACAAACACAATTATGTATGCCCCATCATTACTGGCGTGATTTGCTAATACCAATTGAAAGGCGTTCGTCAAATCTGCTGATGTCGCTTAAAGTGTCGAGTACTCTCTTGAAGACCTAGTTCATGTGAAATTGCTATGAAAGTTCTTATATATTACAGCTATATTGTTCTTATTCCAAAAACGCTTATTCCCAAAGTGTAATTTCCACGCATTCGTACTCTTCTAAGGCTCCACGTTCACGCGAGTTTTTTTTTTTCACAAATGAGAGATCTGTAATGCATTTAGTATGATTATATGATCACACACACGATAAAATTATCCGAACCAATGGGAATGTCGTCTGCATTCATCACATCGCAATGTATGCTGGGTAAAAAAATATAATAATAGGAAAACCAACAACATATCTTTCGCTTCGTAGACCGTATGTAATTTGCTTACGTAATTGACATGTGTGCGTTAAAAATACTGTAAATCCCAATAAAGGAAATTTATCTTTCTAATTTTTAAAAGCAGAACTGGAAATTTGTTTGACAGGCTTGTCATGTCGGGTAATGTGAACATTTTGCCCCCAGGCATAAGTTTGTCATCAATGTCATTGGTTATATATCTGCAACGGGTTAACAGTGCCATCGTATCCAGCATGGTCACCTGCATTAATAATGCATGGCATTCTAATTATCAGTCGTTATCTTACCGAGTTCGCCTAATTAATGCAATTACAATATCGATTTCGTATAATAACATTTCTCGTCGTGACGATATTGCGTTTGGTATGTGTGGGTATTTATTTGTATAAATAAAATATTAATATCTTGTCTTTGATTTAGTTTTGTCATTGTGCGATTTAGAACTGTGCATTCCAGTGGGATTATATAGCGAACCAAATCCAGTAGATAATTGAAGAGATAGAGTTTCTTGACTCCAGCGCGTCCGTTTATACACGGTTTCCCGACGATATGGAGCTTCCATGTGATTTGCATAAATGTTGGTTCAAATTGGTTCTCACCAGCAAGTGATGTGCATATTGTTCGTTGTTTCTCACCCGTTCACGATTAAAGAACGGTCGATGCAGTAACGCGCAGGCGCCATACTGACCCCGTTTCACGCTCTCTGCTTTGACGGGTGAGTGGGCTACTGGAGTTCATAAACACGACTCATCACGTTAGGGAAAGTGTGGAATTGCTCGTTGACTGCGATACGTCGTCGGGGATGTACGAAAGGCGCACATGTCGGACTCCTACAGGGAGGGTACGGAGCGGGAAACAATGAAAGAGGAGACGCTCGTCTTTGCCTACTACGTGGTGATTGTGCTCGCTTCTACCGCCACCGAAGCATGCTTAGTTGGGGAAGTATTCGACCCAAACCTGAAGAAGTGTATCAGCTGCGAAATATGTCGTGAATTCCCGTATTCACCATTTTGTGACGAATGCAACGTTGGTAAGTGCACATGTTACAGTTGACTCAGTGAGACAAATTAAAACAAAAACAACAAGAATCTACTTTAATCCGCAAATCTTTGTTTTGACGAACATCAATTCACCAGGAGATAACTCCCGATAATACAGAGCTCAATGGTCGCTTAAAAACGCATTATCAGTGTTTGTATAATCGTCGTACGTCAATAATTGCATTCTGTTTAGCTTTATAAGGGATGTATTAGTCCATTTATCTCCGGAGAGTTCGGGCAAATATATTCACTTCGTTTGTCTCACGGGATTCCGCAACTCAGAAAGGAAAGTTTATTTTTCAATTTTAGAAACTGTGTCGCTGGCATTATTTGCATCTATTAATTAAAACAAAACTAGTCCGTGGCCAACACCGTATTGTATCCGGTTACTCGGTTACTGCGGCGGCTCGGCATTTATTTCGTTTCAGGGTTTCTCCGATTAACCGATCCATATGTAAATGATAAATATAGCGAGTCTTTCCCTTGGGCATCGGTTTGTGATAATATATCAATGTTTTCTCGTCGAGACTAAGTAAACCAAACGATGCGAAACACGCACCCAATATTTAATTTTACCGCCTGGTTGAAAATAAAATACGTTCGACTGATCGCGTGTTAGCGATTATGACTACATGGCACAGACTGGCAGACGACCTAGATGCGCTCATAAACGCGTTCTTTCTTAAAATAGAAGCGAAATGTACATTACACGTGTGACATCACGAAGGAATGCGTTATCTGGGCTTGATTTATTCGTTTCTCCGTTTCTCATTTGAGCTCATCAAGGTTCCATTCCAAATTACAACGCGGGAATTGTCATCTTTCGCATGTGGGGAACACGTCTTGAAAGCATGTTTTTTTTTGCGATACACCGTCTCTTCATTATTTTCGGCTTTGCTATAGATCAACTTAAAAAAAAATATTCCGACTATTTAATACAGGAGCGTGAATATCAACAATGTCCTTCAACTTGAAAATATTACGCTAGTAAACACATTGAATGTTTGTGTTTAGGAATTGCTTTTTTAATTTCGAGCTGGAAATTCATTTATTTATTTATTTCCTGTGCAATGATAAAAATATATGCAATCAGACCAATAAATGCGTTTTCTGAGTGATTATCAAATTGATAACGGCCTTGGATTTCATGATTTATGGACCACTTGACAAATATTTTCCTGTGAAGCATAATAAATGAACACAGGATATTGAATGGAAGCGAGGTACATTAATATGCACATGTTGTTCTGCCACTAGGGCTCTGGTACACGACGACAATTCCTTGTGGAACCAGCAATATTGCGGTCTACAGAGAACACCATGTGTATCCGATAGGTAGCAGTGAATTTTTTTTGCAGGGAATTAAACTTCGTTGCGTGTTTTTTTGAAAGAAAATAATGGTAGTGGCAAGTATACGACCAGTAAATAGCAAACACATTAAGCAAAAAAGAACCTTCACAAATATCTTTAGTTTTTTTAAATGTCATCACATTTGTTTTTAGTGTTGCCATGGAAAATCGCTGTTACAATTTAAGGATATAATTTTCTCCCTTCATCTGCTTTTATAGATTGATTAAAGCACTATGGGTTACCAGGTGTTAGTGATAAGACTCACATCCCTGTCTGTAAGGTCAAAAAATTAAACACGATTGAATTCGACAAATACTAATTATATGGGCTAAAGACTACTAAAGCGTAAACATTTGAAACCCAGTTGCATAAGGGGTCCTCTGGGACGTGTTCGTATATGCGCGACACTCACAGAAGCTGGGTATTACAAAGGGGCAATGTTTAATATAAACTAACGCGTATTTGTTTTTATAGTTGTTATAGTCACTTGATCATTCTTACTACGTACGTGCGCGGCATTGAAAATTTGAAATAAACATCACCATGAAATGTATTATTATACATCTGTCACCGTAGCGCCATAAGTTCCAGTGTGCCGTAAGTTTCGCTGATTCTGTTCTAACAATTTTGGAATTCGGCATTCCCATGGTGTATCTTTGGTAGGAAATGATGTATAATAATAAGGTTCTAACGAGAATACCTCAAAATATGCACTCAGAAAGTATGTAGCGCATCGACCTCCGGTTACTCCAGCTGTACTGTCTTCGTGCAAACTTTGAGGTATTCTCGTAATAACCTCATATTATTATTGTTGTCCAGGTAGTATGTATTGTATGTTTGTTTGTTATAGGTTACTTTGTGTTATTTTGTATGTGTTTGTATTTAATTTGTAAGTTAAGTGAGATATGACACCTCAATTACTAACACTCCACGGACTAACATGGTCAAAGTGACTGAAACATAGCCGAGTCGATGCGTATAAATATATACAAGGCACAATTCGATGCGTCGAAAACAAAACTTGTAAACAAACCAGCTGCTCTCTGATTGGTCTGACTGTTGAGTGACAAGATTTGGTAGCCAATCATACACACTCTTTTAAGTAGCTCCATAGTTCATTTCTACCTTTCATTTGACGGATTAAATTGGGGAATCAAACTTCGAAAAGATTCAGTGGATTGCTGCACAAACTAAACATCACAGGGAACAAAATGGCATCATGCTTTGGACCGCTTCATCAACTCAACAATATCCGAAAAGAATACGTCATGATAATGACGCTCTTACAGCCCGTTGACAAATAACTTTTTGGTGAAGTCGATTATCACTTAAATAAACGACCATAGCCGCCCAGACTAACATGACCACTTTATATACGTTCTTGATCGATCGTCTACTGCCTTGAGAAATTGAATACATCATCAAAGATAACCTCACTGAAACATCCGGGAGATTTAATTTCTCGTCCATAATCGCCCAGAATCAGCGTATGTCGTTACGTCTTTTCGAAGTCATATCCTTCGTCAACTTTTCTTTCGTGATAGCAAATCTTTTAATAGTGACATTCATTATAAGAAAATCCTATCAAATCTATAATGAACGGAGTTAATATGATGTACAATTACATTCCAGAGGTTACTTATAGTGGGTATTATTTACATGCGCCTTGTATGTTGTATGTGCTTTTTTTCAACTTATATACCCCATCAAGTAGCTCGCTCATTAATAGACTGATAAATGAGTATATTGTGTCCACCAGACACTCAGATCCTATTACACCCTGATACTCACTGCAGTGATGGAGACAACATTAGGTACCCTGAGCGCTTCGTTTGCGTTGATAGAAACATCACAATGAACATATATAGAAAAACAAATTATCCAAACCTTTCAATAATAACATTAGAACTTTTTTTTCAAGTCATGTCTAAGTTTATTTTGTTATCACCAAACGTACGCATATCCTAAATATTTCTCGCGCTATTTGATCTTATTCAGGTTTGACTGGCTAATTGCTACAGAGAGATTGAGATAATGATCGCATGAACTATCCCAAAGTGTACTCATAGGGTATGTTTTTATAGAGAGAGGCTGACGTCTCGCCAAACACATTGAATGATTTTTTTTCATTATAATGAATTTTCGGCGTGTCGCCACTTTTTTGTTATACCACAAATTATAATCAAATTGAATGTCATTTGTTATAAGTAGATAACGTAAATAACTAATTAGGCTTGCTTCCTCGGTATGGTTTAATTTGTAGAAGAGAAAATACTCGCAATTGAACACTGCCCTTTTTTCAGACCTCGTTTTATTTATCGTATCTTGTAATATGAGGGTTATTGTCCCCCGGGATTCGGCATACTGTTCATTTATGCAGATGTAAAAGTGGATTCTCAAATCTTTATATATTTGTATCAAGAAGAAATAAATAACCGGGTAAAAAAAAAAACATTCAACTGCAAAACCACTCACTGGCAATTATAAAATGTGAGATTTGAGATATATAGTGGTTAATCTGCAAAATATGCATTATATAGTACGACTGAAAATAAAACACAGAGGTTATTTCATATTCAAATACTGTTACGATCACGCTATCTGATGATATTCCTCGTTAGTTTGAATCCCTCATTGGTACCTCTGAGTACTTGTTTTACCGGACGCAAACATAAATGTTAATATGAACGCAAACCTTGCTCAGTGCATCATGCAATTGAAACATCTTGTTAACAACTATCCCAGTATACCAATACGATAGCATATTCTAATTATGAATTACAGACCTGCCTTAGAATACCAATTGCAAGTGTACGTTTTAAGATTATAATTACACCACACTATCTTACACCATGATCGCTGGCAACAATCCAACTGTTCGACTATATGGCACAAAGGTCTTGTCATTTCCCTGTCTTGTTTAACTCATCTCTCGATGCCACAGGGAAGCTAGCGGATAACATGTTTTCAATATAACCCATTAAATGTGTGTGTGTGCACATCTGTATGTGGGCGATTTCCTCAAACAGCCGGTCGCATTGCAAGTTAATTTTGCAACGTATACTGTCTATAGCAGGGCACATTTGGGTTGGGTTACTACGAAGAAAGGGATACTGATTTCTCGTTTGCGCTGTGAAACGCCATTGGCACGATTCTGAAATCACATCATCGATGATATATTAGAATGATGTGTGTGCATTTACATCTAAATGAGACTGGTACAACCCCTGACTCGAATTACGGTCACTAATTTAATAAGGAAGTGAAAGTGGATGTAAAGACATATTTACAATGTATTTATCGGGTTAGAAAACTATTCTTGATCGAACTCCGTGTATATATTATGATTGAGGATGAGTTTGTATTGTATAATTCCATGATTTTTTCTTGTAAGTTGATGTCAGCACATCCAATAGATTGCCCCCAGATTGTTTTGTCAATCCGAGTCGTAGGTGAGAATTGACGCTTCCATGATGGTGATCACGGATATTCAAACACTTGTTTGGTTCGTTGTGGTTAGTTGCAGTTCATTATCTATTGCGATGTCATGTACATAGTTTAAGACATTGTTTGAATTTATGTTGGTATCAGTAGTCAATTTTCGCCGGCCAAGTGTTAACATTGGGATACCATTTCTCCACCCCTTCGATTTATTACATAAATGTGCGACATTTCGTTCTGAATCCATGTTCATTTTATTGCGTTTGTGATAAGCCAGCATTCTGTTTAAACCATTGACACTGGAATTGTTACTAAGCAGTATTCGGGAGACGTCATTTAGGAGCAAGGTTCGCGTTCTAGAGTCTGCTTGACTGGAGCTACCGGAACCATAAACAAACTAAAATAAAATAATAAGTATGTACATATCAAATGATCGCCCTTCGTGTTATCAAGTAATCCTTTTATCCATATATAATGCAACAGTTATTATAGCTCATAGTATTGTATAGTGGTGGATTTAATACCAAAAGAACAGTGTTTAAGTGACTAGTACATTCTTCGTTTATCGTAGTTTTGAAATTCATAATGCAGTAATAATGTATAACATTAGCTCAGTTACATGTGGTGGTCAATATAGTACACCCTGAAAACGCATTGTCGTTGCACTAAAATGAATCTATCGCATTGCTGTAGAGGTTATAATTATAAGCACTTAGCTACAGTTATATTTTTTGAAATTATAAATTCTATGCAATACATAGTTTATAAAAAACGTTCTTCGGATCCAAAGAATGAAGATAGCATATGTTCGATAAACTAATCACGTATTGAGGTTTTCATATATATATAGGACTGTGGCACGTGTATCAAACGGCTATGAGTGTTCTGTTTGTATACCGAAGAACTGGTTTTACGGATCAGAGAAAAGCGTTGAAAGTAGTTGTAATCCTGTACCACAGATCAGTGGCTTCAACACCACTTATCAAAGCTGTATCAAACCCATTCGGGAATAAATTCATATTCAATTTGTCAGTGAACGGTAGATAAATATTAAGTAATACACTCTTCGCAACAAGGGACTCGTTTTTCCATTATTCGTGCGCTTCCCTGATGGACTGTTTGTCGAACGTTAAGGGGGGATACTCGAGATTGCAAACAGGATCGGGATATGTATAACCTCAACAGACTGGCAAAAATAATAAGTGATACCTCTGTTGACCTACTTATATAAATACGTTATATTGATAGCTAAGGTTGTACCTCATAGCATACCTTTGAAGAATTTATGGTTAAATCTGGGGAGTCGTCACCTGCGCATGCGTCAAATGGCCATAGCGTGTTAATATTTATAAACACGCGTCTACTCATGAGCCTTTGCGTTTTTAGCGTGTGTTGTTATCATCGCTTGGAACTAAATTCCCGCGCGTGCGCAGGTGACGACCCTCCCGCTTTAAATGCACTTTTTGTTGTGTAAATTGTTATTTGCATTCCGTTCACACAGATAACTCTTGATTTTGTCCAGCTTATTTAGTTCTGTTTGGAAAACGCACCCTTCGAAATAATACCTGCATATTACGATATTATATTACCATACGTACATACGACAGGTATGTCGATGTGTCGACACTGCACGTGACACGAGCATGGCGCGCGATATGATAGGGTCTCATTGAAATAAACCCGAACCACATATGCAAAGCATTTAAATCTTGCCTGTAATCCAGACCAGCAACATCAACATATGAATCAATCAAATATAATATGCAATTATTTTTGGAAGTTTATGTACGCGCATTTTCCCTTGGGCTTCCAAGGTTCTGTCATCCATAAAATCAAGCTCACTTATTATTATTGTTTTTATTCAGTAATGATGTGTAAATCTTTCATTAAAATAACTTTATGATGGCGGCCGCACAGGATAAGCATGCACAAAGTGGTAGATTATTGCTTTCCATTTTGTTCATGAAATGCAAGATTAACTCTTCCCACAATTTGAACAACAGCAACAAATTAACATATCATCATATAACCAAACTTCCGACATACCGCGATATAAATAGATTAGTTCCTGAATTCTAATATGTATCGCAAAACGTTGATATATCACAATGACTCCTACTTAAAAACATGCATATGGTTAGTAATCAATTACCATAGAGAACACTTATTTGCATACTTTCCTAATCCAGAGATCCTCAAGAAATAAAGAAAAATGTGTTTTATATAAAGAATATCCGTAATAAATGCAAAACAACATTAAAGCAAAAATTCATATGCAAGCAATATAATATCATTTATCATGAAACGTTGTGATATATTAAATAATTCATTTAAAGTGAATCAAACAAATATGCTACGATAAATTACAATTATATCAAACTTGTTATGCCTGGCTAGATATATCATCAAATAATTATAGTGGATTACATATACATTTATATAATATTTATCATCGAAATCACATTCCACACTGTAAATCCGTTAACTGACACTTAGTCTGAGATCATTTTTATATCATTTCCTTGTACACAAATGTCTAAAAGCCCAGATCAGCGGGTTGTTTCACTTTAGGTACCGTTCACCGTTCACTTTTCCAGTAATTTGTATTTCGATCTACCATGAATCTGTCAGCAGACGTATTGACGTCATCTATGTACTGGTGAATTGAACGAACAGCCAATCAGGAATGAGGTATTTTCCAATCCTTGGCTGCCAGAAACGCGTGATTATCAGTATAAAATCAAATACACGCACGTATATTTTATAACACGTTTTCTTATTGGTTAATGTTAATTCAGTAATACGCAAAAACTGGCATGATAGGCAAGTTGTGATTTGGAGCTAAACAATAAGCAAACTCCACAATTATAGTTAATGATGTTGGTGAAAGCTTTTACGAACAATTACGAAATTATTATCTATCTCGTTACTGTAGACCCGCATTTATTACACGCTATTTCGAGCTGTCTTTTTTACGGACGTTGAGCTTAGCGTAGGGAATGAGTATAAGTTTTAAATGGCGAGGCGTTTTTGTAGTCGAGTTCGAGTCCTGTGTATCGCGTGTTCATAAGTGGTAATGTATACCCGTCCGCGCCCCAATAGTGTGGACATCATCACATCTGATATAATTCCGAATATCTCTCGCTCCCAACGAGATCTCGGACGGGAGGCCATTTACAAATAAGAATATTGCGCGCTCCAGACGAGAAATCTCCATCTCGTAGGTAAACAACCACCAAAGACTCTCGTCACGTGGCCAGTCATCCTAAATTCGCGCGTACGGTGTTTTCTTATTTAGATAATCATTACCAAAAACAAAATCGCTCCACGAAAGGAATGAACTCGTGACAGATTGATTGCAAGTTACTGAATGGAAATATCATCCTGCTCACGCTACGGAAAACAAATGTCTGCTACATCACTATAAAAATTTTTTATTAGAATACAGAGAAACGTAAACATGTATCTTCTGTCAAACACATACCGCGCGGTTGAATTTCACTATACAACATATGTAAAGACAAACACCACATATATACTGGCAAGTACTGGTAATCTGCCTCCAACCACAATGTCAATACAAATATAACTTTAATATCCGCAGGATAATATTCATTTTGTATCGTATCTCATATAGGATATCAGTAACACGTAGATTCAATAATCGTAATGAGAGAAGCACACCCTGCATTCAGATTGAAAAGGTTTCAGAGTCGTATGATAACATGAACAACAAGTTTGGAATTGCATTGGTTCTTGTTCCACTTGCGATTTGAAAACGAGTTTTTCAATGCCAGTGTTTGTTTGATCTGTAATGACCTTGTTTCAAAGAAATGGCAGTAAATTGCAACACAGTTAATACCTCGTATACTTCATACACAGCTTCGTGAAATATATGTGTCTGGTAGTTTAAATTATCGCCAAAATAATTTATATTAACGAGTGACATGGTAGTTTGTCATTTTTACACGGCATCGTTGTAATTCTTTGAGGTATTCCGTCGTATCTTCTCGTGTTTGCAATGTTTATGCAAGTTTCGTCGGTATTGGCTCGTTAAACCAATTACCAGCTTGTGTGGATGATAATCATCCTCTTCATTGTACTACATTTTTAACTATCAAATCCACACTCACTCTCATCCCAGTAACACGTTAACACCGACTTATTTCATGGAGGGTAAGCCGATTCGAGGGTCACATGGAGAGACAAATGGTCTGGTAGTTAGTTTGTACTAGTATTGAAACAAATGTTCTAAGCATAATACATTTCAGTTTATGCAGGCATGGCGTATTTCTTACATAATTATCTTATTGTAACGATAACAAGTTTTACATTATTTATGAAACATTTCACTTCCTGCGAATGACGTATGATGTCACGAATCCTTTAAAGCACTGTTTCTATAGGCTAGTCAAAGACACTTTCAAAATGCATTTGTGAATAGCGTTTAACTATAGGACACGATAATAGAGCATATCCGACTTACTTAGTCCCGAGCTTATCCCAACAAGTTCACAATACGGTAATGTCCAATCATGTTTTACATTTGAGATTGATTACGAGTAATGTGCCAAGGTTCATTGTACTGTTTAAACATTTATTGTATCGAAGGCGCCGTGCCTTAGATATTATACCGCGGGGAGTGGTGTCGCCATCCTCAAAGTGGTCTCCTTAAATCGCATTATGTTTTGAAAAACATTTTTTTTTTCAAACTAATCATTACAAAAACATAAATGGCAAAATCTAGGTCTTACTTACACATAACTTACACACAGTTCTCTCCCTCCGTTGACCACTAATGTATTGTTTATTGAACTTTAATAGTGATTTTCTGTGTGTTTGGGGCTAGCAACCTATTTTTTAGCTCCGCTGTCGACTTTGTTGAGCGGAGCTTATCATATGAGTGATTGTCCGTCGTCGTCTTTGTCAATGTTTTACTTTTTCGACTTCTTCTTGAAAACTACAAGCCTGAATGCTTTGATACTTGGTGTATATGTACCTTTGGTCGACA